CAGAACGGGCCGTTCTAGGGTACGAAAATACTACATAACGGCCATATCCAGAACGGGCCGTTCTAGACCCTGTCTGAAGCCTATAAATAGAGAGCTTGGGCACATTTCTGAGGACCTCCAAAATTTCGTCCAAAGCTCCATAGAGCTCGAAATTTCTCCCTTTTTTTTCTCTCTCTCTCTCTCCTATTGCACTTCTTGAGTTTTGTGAGGCTTATTGTAGTGTGAAAGGTTTCCACAAAGCACCTAAAACCTCCATAGTTGAAGATCCAATAAAGCTTGTTCCAAGGTATTACTCATCAATCTCTCGTTTTATCTTTCTCTTATTTTATTTTACATATTATTATTATAAACGTAATTATGTAGATATTTTAGGAGTTTACCGTGTAATTTAATTTTAAATCATGTAAATAATCATCAATAAAAGGGGATATAATATTTAATTTATTATTTATTATCGCATTAACTTCATCATAGGGTACCGATTTAGGGCGTTGTAAGGGTGTTTAATACCTTCCTTACACGTAACCGACCCCCGAACCCAATTCTGGTTATCAAGGCCATTATTGGATCTTTCAAAAAATCTTTTCTTTTTCCAATGTTTTGAGTAAAATATTGGTGGCGACTCCATAGAACCTATTTTCAAAATCATTGATTAAGGATTAGTCTGGTGTCCGAGCATTCCTTAATTGATGAGATCTTCGAAAGGATGTCTAAACCATAGGTCGCAAGATCGGAAATTTTCGGGTTGCGACAAGGAGAATTATTGGGCTTCCACATGGCTGCCAAAATGATAGGTAACATGTCATATTAGACGCGGGTTATCAAAGTGGCTGACTAACAAGGACTGACTTTGCTAACAAAATTCAATTTAGGGGACTTTGCCAAAGTTAAATCTAGGTACTATTATGACATTGCTTTACAATTTCAAGGATGAAAATGGGGTTTTACTATAAAAAAAAACTGTTTTAGAAAACTCTTCTACATTTTAATATTTCTTTTGTTTGCTCTGTTTCTTCAAAGTATTTTTTCTCGAGTAACTCATTTAACTTTTATAAGTTCTAATGCAGGAGTTTGATGTTCGCTTTGCGGTCCCTTTTGGGTTTTACAATGCAGCGCTAAACCTTGGGGTATCTGCTGGTGCTGTTTTTCCATGGGGGCTTGGGTTCAAAACCAAGCCATCTCCCCTTCCAGAAAGGTTTTATTTGGGTGGTGATTTTTCTCCAGTTTGCACCATTGGAGGACCAACGACATTATGGGGATTTAAAACTAGAGGACTAGGTCCTACTGAACCACGGAGGCAAAATAGGGATGGGTTTAATGATAACAATGTTGATTCCTCTGGATGGGACTTCATTGGTGGAGATCTTGCTGTTACTGCTTTTGCAGATCTCTCTTTTGATCTTCCAATTAGGTGGTTCACAGAACATGGAATTCATGGGCATGTTTTTGCTGGTTCTGGGAATGCTGCTAAATTAACTCAGAATGAATATAGGCACTTCTCTCCTCGGAAGTTCTTAGAATCCTTTCGAATGTCAGTGGGATGTGGAATTGTCATTCCTACTAGACTGTTCCGCCTAGAGGTTAGCATTTGTTCTAATTTCTTTATATTTAATTAAAAAGAAGCTCAAACTAACAAAAAGTTTTGGGAGAGTTTAAAGTAAAATGTCAGCGAAACAAAAATAGAGGATTTTGGGATAACCTTGTTATATTTTGATATTGGAAGAAAATAAAAGAGAAACAGATTTTTTTAATCTTTGAAATCTTGTTGCATTGTTATCAGGATTAGTAAATCTCATTCTCTCCTGCCCTCCACCGTTGCCTTTTATTAAATTGCTATTTATGTGTTATATCAAAGCTTTCTATGATTTCTTCACCAACATATTTCTTGTTTCAGGGTAATTACTTCTACATACTAAGAAAGGATGAACATGATCGTGGGAAGACTGGATTTAGGTTTAGCTTCTCAGCTCCTTCGTAGCAGCTGTGTTCTCTGTCAGATTTTCTTTTTAATTTTTGTGTAGTTCTTCAAGCATTAAATATTCTTTTGCTATCTATATCTACTATCCCAGCACGGTATTTATATACCTGACAAAATAAGATAGGACATTCATTCATATAATACATCTGCAGTTGTTTATTCTACACGAAGTTGTACGAAATTCAAAAATTATTCACTCATGTACTGCAATCGTGAATTGTAGATTCATTGCCACTGAGAATTCTTTACTTCTTCCATCCTGCTTGGATTGTGAAGTATACACCACTCTTTTATTGGTTGAGAGATCTTCTGTGTGGAGATTGTTATGTATTGTGTGTGTAATGTTTTATTTCTTCAAAAAAAAAATGCTTCAACAGGGCCCAACAATATGCGGAAATTTGGTGACTGTTGATTGTGTTAATATTAGGGAGACTTATACCCTGTTTGCTAAGAACACCCATATTCCCTTGTTTCTGGTTTATAAATTTACTTTCATACCCTAATTTGGTTGTACTCCCTTGTTTTTTAAAAGGTTGATTCTTCATTTCCCTGCACTCCCTCTTCGGAAAATAGTCCTTTTTTTTATATAAATAATCTTTCATTTTATTGAACTCCCTTAGTGTTTCTAATAATAGAACTCATTTTAATTAATTTATTTATTTCTTTTTGTCCTTATGCCGCTTAAAATGTAAGAACTTTCTCTATTTTTTTCTGTTTCATTTAAAGGACGGGACTTGAGTTTTTAATTCATTTTATAAGCTTCGCATTTTCTATTTTTATTTAAGTGAGTATAGTAATAAAAAAAATTATTGATGACAACCAGTTCTTGAATAGTTCTTATATAAGAGCAGTTTTTACACGTTTTGCACATGTGAGTAAGTTTCAATAGTAAAATTTATAAAAATTAGTTTATATTTAAGAACTTAACTCTTACCGGAGATGGGCTTAATTCTTACTTTTGGAAATGTTAATTATTTTCTATTGCAAGGTCTCTTCTGAAAAACGTTTTTCCAAAGTTAGATTTGTTATAAAATTTATTTTTTTATTTCTAACCTAGTAAAAAACATTATTATTTATACTTTTTCTTTCATCTAAATAAACCATATGAGCATGTGTTTTAAGGTTTTTTAAGTCCAGCTTCCTATAGAATGAAATATTTTTAAGTTCAATTTACAATGTTTGATTTATTTTAAAACAAGTGTGACCATGAGATTTTATAAATAGTCAACTTGAGAGTTACAAATAAAAGTCTTGAAATCGTTACTACGCTTTTGTAAAACGTTAACAACATTAAGATATTCCATATGGACATAAAAACGTTAGTTTAGTGTTTTCTGTTGACCGTGCCAAATTAATAAATTGTTTGGACATTTACCCAAAAAAGGAATGTCAATGAAAAAATAAATTTATTTTTCTTTGTGGTTTTATATTATAAATTTAATGCTTCTTAAGGCTTAACCTCTTTTAGAATATTTTTAAATTCATTTTATAGATGAGAATTTACCTTATATACGAGACATAGACTATTAAGATAGAAATAGTCATTGGATGCTACTTATCTCTATCGTAGATATTTTTAATCTAAATATTCGTTCCTTTTTAATTCCACCCAAACTATCAGGTTGTTAATTGGGAGTTGAGTTCAATTGCCTAAGAAACTAGTATTTAAATAAATTAGAAAATCCAGTAAATCGACAAACCAAGAAGTGGAATTGATCATTTAAAACCCATATATGAAATTTTGGGTGAAATAGAGTAAAATATAATCTCAAAGTTCTCATTTAATTTATTTTTATTTTAATGCGATCTTGTTTGTCAATTTGCTAAATAAAAAAAAAAACTAAAAAAAACTATACTGCTATTTTTCAATTTTAATTGCTCTTTTTTACTAATCAAATCAAGTTATCCTTTGTAGTTCCTATTAGGATTGCGTTTGCGAAATTGCGAATAAACCCTCAATTCCTAAGAGTGATACCTGATTTACACTGTTTAGAAAAATTATTACTTGCAATAGTCGCTACACGTACAGAAGTCTTATCATCTAATTGCATGAATAGAGAGAAACAAAAGGGATTATTATCAAAGATTTCAATCGCTGTTTTTGTAACATTTTGCTACCGATAAAAAAAATGTTTAATTGACATAGGAAAGCAAGACTTTGAAATTGCCTATTCCAATTTATTATATAGAAATAATATCAAAAGTACGATTCAATCAAATGCTAATCAAACAACAATATATATCAAAATAAAGTAAAGTCTAAAAATAAAACGCACCATAGATAAAATAAAATTCCTAGCCAAACTGTCACGAACAAGAACAAGATAAAACATTTATCCCAAGAAAAAAAATGCTTATATAAAATCTAAAATTGTAGTGGCCTAATTAGTAAGGTATGGAAGCACATTTTTTCGACCACTCTGGGCAAGAAAGTAGTTTCCTGCTTCAGTAAGGTGCACAGCATCCCAGAACAGATACTTTGACGAATCAGGGCATGTTAGTTCCATTATATTGCACACAGGACCCATCTCCAATAGCCCTGTGCCACAGCATCCATCAACTGTTTCTTCAAAGCCTTCATAAATTCACCAGCAAAGTTATAATATATAAAATAAAAAATAGAAGAAATATTATATATATAGAAAATAAGTTATATTTTTTACATTATCATTCCATCACAACCCTTCTATAATAATTATTTTAAAATTCATACTAACGATAATTTTGTATAATAAGTTCGTTACCTTTTATATATGATAATTATTTTAAAAGTCTTGATGAGCTGTATAAAACTTTTATGACTATTAAACCTAATAAAAAATTGAGTGAGTAATTACTTACCATATTTGGCTGGATTTCGGACCATATCCAGAATGGGCTTATAGATATCAAAATAAGCGATCTTAGCAGCTGTGAGTGTGGATTGGAGTAAATGAATATGGGATTGAAGCTTGTTGTTGTAGCCTTTAGAATCCAAGTTCTGTTGGATGTTACACAAACGTTGGAGCCAGTGTTGGCTTGGTAGCATGCTTGTTAATGTTATTTCTATTGGGAGACACCCAATTGGAGGAAGACCTGCCACCAAAATGCGACGTGCTCCTGCAGCGTAGAGCCTCTACAATATCATACATTAATCAAAAAGAAAAAAAAACGTTACTACTTTACAACAAATTAAACCTTGGTTAGATAATTATTTTAAGTGCATGTAATTAACATGCATGTAACATAAAATACAAACCTGAATAAAAGCATCAAGATTTTGTAGCATGAAATCTTGGTACGAGGAAATAGAACCATAGCGAGTGATCCTCACCGGTGACAAATATACATTGTAGAGCATATCATTAGTCCCAATACTAATCACAAACAAAGCGTTTTCGACGATATTGGTCGCTTTTTCTTCTCCATAAACGCTACTTATCCTTCGCATGGCTTGTTCAAACAAACCATATTGAGTGGACAAGCCAAAAACCTTGGCCAATGCCACGGTGTTGGGGTCCAAGCCGGCACCACCACAGGCAAAACTCACTCCAGTGATCAAATCATTATCGGTCACAAGTGGGTTAAGATAAGCAGGTAAGAGATCTTTGATGCCAAGAATTTGGGCAAGGAAATCGGTCGCTATTTTCCCGTTTGAGAACCTCCCCGTTGGAAGGTGGGTGGGAAAGTCACGACCATAGGGTAAGTGGTCACTACGAAAGAGAGTGTTAAAGTGATTGTTGTTACCCGAATCTACGGTAGAGTCGCCAAAGGCGAAGATAGCAGTGACATTACTAGCGGTAGTCACGGAATTTAGCATGCAAAGGGAGAGGAGAATGAAGAAGAACTTTGCTATGGAAGCCATGACAACTTGATAATGTGATGGATGTAGGTAACTAATTTTCGCTTGAAGGGGTATGTGCTAGTTCATGAATACTATGTTCTATTTATAGAGTTTGTGTGACATGATAAAAAGACTCCAAGATATAAATGTGATCTCTTGTTGGATGATAAATGATTAGGTTTTTTTTATAGATTTCAATCATCTATAAGCAAATCCTCAACAGAAGGATTTTTTCATGCTGATTAGAAAATGGTAGATAATGATTCTCGATCGGCTATCAATTAATTTAAAAATGCATGTTACGTTTCGTGCTTTATATTTGGATTTTTTTTTCTTTATTAATATAATTTTAATAATTTTAATCTAATTTTAAATTTTCAAGAAATGCAGAATATTGTTTTTGGTTTATATTAAAATATATCCATATGCACGCGAAAAAAATGAATTTTCGGAAACCAAAAAGACTTGAAATAAAAAACTTTTTGGGTCTTTTGATAAGTTTTAATTTCTTTATCTTTTATTTTTGCTATTACATTCTTTTTAATCTAAATATAAAATTTAAAGCAACACGGACAAAATTGTTTTCAGTTTATGTATATCCATGCTTGGAAAGTTGAAATTTCGGAAATAGAAGACTTAAAAGATTTAATTTGGGTTATTTTAATATAATCAAAGGGAATACAGTACGTTATCTAAATTATTATTTATCTAAATACCAATATCTTTATTTATTTATCTATATCTATTTCGAGATCTCATTTCTTATAACCAAAAGATGAATAATAATAATAAAGGATAAGTAATGAGTAATATTTGAAGTCAATTATTATTAAAAAAAATAGAAACAAGTGATTTATTTTGTGCATGACAACGGTTATTTTCAATATGTACATGCATTTTATAATTATTAGAGAGGTCAAGACACTTTATATTTTTAATAATTATATATAGATAGAATATTAGAAGGTTGTGTCTAATTATTTAGAAAGAATATAATAATTTTTTTTACATCCGAGGAATATAATGATCTACTAAAACGTGGAGACCAAAAGCAGTTACATATATATCCCTTTTATAATAGGTATAGATAATTATTATCATAAAAATAAAGTAAATATATCAAATAACTTTAATAAAATTTAATAATTTTTTTATAGGAGAATATTAAATATATCTAAATGAATGAAATGATAAGTTGTTACGCAAAGATATCGATAAATCTTCAAATGAATGAAATGATAATTTATTATGAAAAGATATTGATAAATCTTTATCTCCAAGAAATTGATGATAATTTATCTCTATGAAATGAGAGATCGGAAG